TTTAAGCTCATTCCTTTGGAGGTAGGCCTCTGTCTGAATTGACGTCTCTTGAGCTAGCCCAAAGTTGGTGCGCTTTTGGCATTGAGGATCATTTACCTCATAAAAACATTGGTTTCTATTGGGCTTGTGTGCATCGCTGCTAGCTGGATGTCAGAATCTCACTGTGGGTTCTGCGGTTTATGCCAGGCCTGGCTAGTTTGGCCAGGGGACGTGAATCATTTAAGAGAGGGGATGTGAATCATTCCAGGTAAGCTTATACTGGGTTGATATAACTCTGTGGCAGGAAAAGCCTAATCTCCAGGAACCTGGTATCTTACCCTCTAACTTTTGACTAGAGGAACACGAAACTCTCTTTCTGTGAAATTAAGCCTGCCCTTCACTGGTGTTCCATACCATACCAGCCTGCCCTCAGCTTTCTCTCCCAACACTGTTCGCACATGGAGGGCTTCTAGATTCAGATCAAGGAATCATAGTTTCATTTTGCCCACTAGATGAGTGTCACAATGAGTCAGCTAATCACCTCAAGCATGGAGAAATAGCGATGGTCCTTGAGAATTGTAATATAGTTTGAAATGTTAATATAGGTAGTTCGCAGTGTTGCCAGGTGGTTTCCAAACCGTCTAGTTCTCACTGAACTGAAAGTTCCTTGAGAGTGGGAACTGCTTTCAACGTTCCTATCCACCACATCTAGCCAACAGCAGACCCACAACACATGTTTGGCAAATGGATACATCAATGAATGAATGGATGAAGCATCTGTGATATGCTAATGAAGGTGCTTTAGTTCATGTCTGATGGAAAAGCATGAAATGGCTTGCCAGAAGAACAGTAAGTACCAACAAAGCAGAGTGGAAGTATTAAGGGAAGATGAGGAGAAGACAGTGAACCAACAAAGAGTTTGGTAAAACAGAAAGTCACAACTAAAGATTGAAACAAAATTCCCTTCCAAACAAAAAGTAAAGTCTATTCTTTGTTTCAAAGAAATTCTCTAATATCATTGACGTTTCTTTCCCAAGTCAAAATGTTTTTGTCTTTATTTCAAAATAGTCCCTTTATTTCTATACTATTTTTTGAGCACACTTTCTTTCTGTGAATTCAGTGGGTGAGAAAAATGTTCTTTCTATAGAAACTACACATTTGTTCTCATTTGTTCATTAAAAGTAGGATTTCCAAGTGACATATCTGGACTATCCCATCATAGATTTTCCTGGAAGCAAGCATGCAAATGAAGGTTTGAGGTGAATTCAGTCCTCGAACCCCATAAACTCTTAAGGTCTTATAAATATTTCACTACACTCTAATAAAATTTCTCTGTTTTCTTAGATGGAAGATAGCATAAATTTCCTCTTTACTTTCAGCAACTACTCTAAGAATGTAAGAGAAATTAAGTCTCAATACATTGATTGTGGCTACCAAAGATTTAATTTCAAAACCAATAATTACTCTCAGCCCCACCTTAAAAGTATTAAGTGAAAGCCATCATGCAAAGTTATAATTAGAGATTGAAAATGATGACCAGAAAGTTCATAGATTCCTTTCAAAATGCTTCCAGGAGCCTGTTCAATTTCAAAAGTCTATTGGGGAAACAAAATTAAAGTCAATGGTGGAGGTGGGGGGAGGGGCGGGCGGAAAAAAATCTAAAAATTCCAGAGTGGGTGAAAGATAGCATCCAGAAGTAATTTTGACCAAGAGGTTGTCTCCACAACTTTCCGGAGACCATCAGTGAAAACAAAGGCTGAATGACATCCAGAGTTTCTTTCCATATTAAACCTTTTGGTTGAGGAGTTAAGAGGCTTCATTCTACTGCGTGGAAGAGCAGGACTAGTGCCTACATGGGAATTATTTCATGGTGTGAAGAATTAGAGAGCAGGACCCAAGTACATGCCTCAGAACTCATGAAAAATTTGCTGCAACTTAACAAGGTGATACGGTTTCCATTTCTGTCACCTTGAATAAGAGGTCTGTGATTTTGTTTAGTGCATTAAGTCTGTAATATAACACGCAAATGCTTATAGAGGACTTATTGTGTGCTAGGCATGATGGTGCACCAGGACACAAAAACTGGCTTTGCCCTCAGGGAGCTCACAGTCCAATGGAAGGATAAAGATAAGTTAATACGGAAGTGATTTGGGTGAATGTAAGGTGTTGGGATTGGAGGAGAGGGTCAGGTACAGAAAGATAAAGAGAGATGATTGTTTTTGTTTGTGTGGAAAGCGGCTACCTGTTTGGTACATCCAAGGAGGTGCAGATTAGGTAAGAGTTTCCTGGTGTGGTTGGTAAAGCTCACTTGGGGGCACTGAAGAGGAAAGTGGCTGGTTACCCTTTAGTTTTACCTCCTTTCCCTCTCAGTGGTGCCCTCTAGTGGGAATGGCAAAAAGCCAAGAAAGCTTAAATAATTGACTTCTAAAATGACAGTGATGTGAACAATTTGCTCTATTGAAGTAAGATTAGGACACCGCTACACTGTGTTGCTGAAGGAGAGAAAGGCCAACACCAACATAAAGCTTTCGACTTTATACCTAGGGTTTACAGTAAGGAATAGTTGGCAACAAGATTTTCAAAAGGTTAACCCTCTGAAATGAACCTGAAATAATGTGCTTAGTCACACACATTCATACTCTACCTGTGCAAAGCCTGCACGTGCCTTGCTCTGTAAGTCTTCATCTAGAGCCCAGGGCCAGGATGGGAGCGCTGCCGAATGCGTTGTGTTGGGAAGAACCATAGCGTTCAATGTGGGAAGAGTGCGGTGATCAATTAATGATGTCTACCAAAGGTGTGGGGAGGGGTGGGGGGCGGCATCTGTGCTATGTATTTGCCAACCCTGGACTAGGGCATATTCTCAGTAAGCTATGTACACGATGTAACTGTAGCATATAAAGCTAAAATTCATTCAACTGTAACTTCTCTAGGATGAGATAATAGTTTTGGTGACATATAGTGGGAATTTTCACAGACTTTACCAGCACTTGTTAGTTATAACAGACATGCTTTGGTAGATATAATAGTTTTGGGATTAAATAGAAACTTTCTGTTGTGGGGCAGGGACAGTTCACTTGAGTTGCTCATATCCTGCAGAACGCATTTTTCGAGACCTTTAAATTTTCCATGTTCTAGTTTGATATTCAACAAATAACTCTTCTCATTGCCAATCTGACTTCTTGCTTCTGGGGAGGAAGGATCCTGGTTAATTAAAAGCAATATTAATGTTACTGAAAAGCTATTTCAGTAATTGGGAAAATAATTGTATCTCTCTGATAATAAGTTAGCATTTGAGATTATATGCCAATTCTTTGTAAGTATAAATTGTAAAGGAATTGACCACTCTTCGGGGTTTGGTTAATTAGTTTTCTCAGTTTGGTCACCCCATTACAGGACTCCCATCCCCCAAATACTCTCTCCCTTTGAACTCTATTTCAACAGTAATCAGGGCTGGCTTGTTGGTGACTGAAAGTTGATCAGTATTCTCAGCAGCATTGATAACAAAGCTGGTCACTGCTGCATTTAATGGTAGATGCTCTAATAGTTGGTGGCAAAAATGATTCAATTATACTAATAGTAATATATCCTTTTTGATACTATAATTTTTAGTTCATAAGCCTTTTTGGTTAAAGGTATGATAGCAGAAAGAATCAGATTTGGGACACAGTCAAAATTTTGTTATGAGTGAATTTTAATGGCTCTTCAAAAACATTTTTAATAAGTAAACATTATTATTAATGTTAAAAATCAATTATCTTTCTATGTTTAGCAGCATGGTAAATAAAAAGAACTATAAGACAAATAGCTTCATATTCTAGAGTGTATAATCTAGTTGAGGATATAAAAGATAAAAATAATAATACAAGGTAGTGTATTCTTTCTTACAATGGTGTGCTGGAGCTACTCATACTGGCTTGCAAGGGGCAATTGCTAAGGTTTCCAGAGTTTTGCAAGCTGGTTACTAAACACAGCCATTATTAAAAGTTAAATTACATAAACATATAATTGAATAAGTTATATTAAAAGCATAAGTAGTAGTCAAAACTCATCAATCACTTCCTAATAATTTCACTACATTTTACTATTATCTCTAATCTTGAGATTATCTATGCCTATCGGATCTGTATGATGGAAATTCTCTATAACAGTGTATCACTGTACGTCTCTTCCCAATTGCGTTCGGTGACATCACATTGGTGGCCTGAAGTCAGTCATGGTGGGAATATTTTTACCACAGAAACTGACAAACTTTACAAACCAAGACTTCTTTCCCTTCCCCCAGCAGCCGATTGTTAAACATTTATACAGCACACCACTGAATATAAACATCAAAGAGTAAGTATCGACTTTAAGAACTATCACTGGACAGAGGAGAGTGTTGGGGTCAGAGAGGCAGGTTTTTACATTAGCTCTGAAGCAGCTTGTTTTTATGTGGGTCAAGACCAATCTGAAAGACATTTAGGACCAAGACAAACTGCAGAATGTCCACATGTCTCTGAACATTTCTGTACAGGTGAAATCAGGTTAACATGACTAATAAAAGCCTCTTTGAAGGTGAAACAAAATAAATGAAAAAGTAACAGCTTGAGGTGTGTGTGTGTGCGCGCGTGTGTGTGTAAGGCAGAGATTAAGAAGTACAAATGGATAGTTACATGGAGATATAATAGAGATGGAGATATAGACATGGAGATATAAAGAGTAGCATGAGGAAAATAGTTAACAATGTAATAAATATGTAAGGGGGAAGAAGGATATTAGATTTAGTGGGGTGATCACTTTGTGAGTTATATAGATCTCTAATCACTACGCTGTACAACTGAAACTAATATATTATTGTATGCCAACTATAATTGAAAAAAACTCATTGAATTGTACAATATAAATATGAGCAACTAATTGTCTATTATATTTCAATAAAGCTGGGGGTGGGAGTGGGGAAGAAATCTCATCCACTCTGGCTGAGGGGCCATCAGATGATAAGATAACCATGGTGATAGTGAGTAAAGAGCTAAAGTCCTTACTGTGCTTCTTTTTGCCAATAGCTGAAGCCCCAGGGACAACCTGTTCTTTTTGATCTTTCTGTGTAACTGTAACAGAAAAAAAAAACCTGAAATTAAATTAAAAAGATAGGCTAAATAGAGAGGATGTGTTTAGGGAGCTTTGTGGAAGTGGGGGAAAGACAGTTTTTGCGTTAGCACTCTGGATAACTGTTTTTTCTACTCTGAAATTTTATGGGCTTCTAAAAGCCTCTTGGGAGAGAACAGGGGCAGTTACTGGTTTTTAATCAAGGGAAGTTTTTCTTAATGTAAAGAAAAGAAGCTTAAAAAATATAGAGAGTAATAATAATAGAAACAAGGTGGCGATGGTGAGCATTAAAGAGCTTGGGAAAAGTAAAAAGAAAGAAAAACACTTGAGCCTTAATAACTGGCCACTGAGTAGGCCAGTGTAAGTTCTCAGCTGTGCAGCCAGCCCTGGGAGGACCATCATGGAACATGGGAAGGAAGAGGAAGACTCCAAGGAAACGGACAGGATCCATTTGTCGCTTGAGGCTTGAACTGATGTCAGGTGAGAGAGGCTATTGACTGTATGAGATTGTCATCTGAAAAACACAGGTACCATATTTTATCGATGCTGAAGTGCCTTTTCTTACAATTTAACAGCTTTGAAGTCAGGATGCATCTTATAATCAATGGTGTCAAAGTCACTGCCAGGTGGTAGATACGATGATGTGGTTATTGCTGTGCATACATGTCATAGTTATGTGTTCTTTAATAAGTATGTATTTATATCAAAAATTTTAACATAACATAATAGAAAATAAAAATTTCTAATAAGAAAACATGGTGTCATGGTTTAAATGGTGTTTTATTTTCCTCCAAGACAGATTAAATAATGTTGTGTCTCATGATCAGTGGCACCTTAGATTCAGTAAAATACATGTTAATTTGTTGTTTATAGACTTGTGTCTTATTTACACACAGTTTTGGGTCTTCTCATCTAATATCTCAGTTGAATCAGAAATGTGTGCGTTAGGTTGATCAAAATGATCACCCAGAGGTCATTATTCTGTGTTCAGAATTGACCAACCATTTACTGAGTTTGGTTGTCCTTTTATAATAATGCGGATCCAAACAGGGACTATTTTGGCTTGGTATTGCTGGATGCTAAAGGTTAGAATTTCATGTAGATAGGCATGTTTCTGGTTTTTTATTTTCCCTCACCATCAAAGAGTTGCGCCACCTTCTCATCTGTCCTCTTTGTGGCAGTAAACTTCCAGTCACTACATCAGACCAATGTCCTCCAAAGTGGGCAGCTGTGAGAAACCACTTTCATTTGGTATCCACTTCAAAATGGCTCTGCAAGCCAAGTGAATGGAGTGCATGAAGGTGTAGTCATCAGAAAGTGGAAGGTGTGTTTAGGAGACGGTGGGTCAATCATTTGTCTGGAGTGAACTGGGTTTTATGGGAGAAGGGTTACAGACAAGATGGTGAGTTACACTGGTGTTGTATATGGGGACAGGTTAAAATCAATGCAAACGATACACACTGACATTCACATAGAATAAGCATATAGGGAATCTTTTTTTAAGGGGAATGAGCAGAGTAATGAAGAAATAAGAAGCTGCCAGGCACTGATGCAAACTTATTGGCAACCTTCGTCAAAATATGAAGATTTCTATTCCAGGTGTAAAGTTGTGGGACATAATCCATTTCGCAGCTGGTGGCCTGTTTTATTTTTCAGATGGGACTGGAGAGAGGGAGGTAGGAAACTTATGACAAAGCAGAGGCAAAGCTTCGAGGAAGGGGATCCAACTCATTTATTTCCCTTTCATTAGTCCCCTGAAAAAATAAAGACTAAGGAGTTAATTGCACTGTTCGCTTTTCTCTCCAGAAAAGCCGAATTAGTAATTGCATTAACTTATTACTATGCTTTGCTCTTATGGGGTAACATAATTTTAACTATTGCTTCCTAATTATAGGACTTTCATTATTCTGAAAATTTCATTCAGTATGTGTTCCATTTTCACTTTTATGAAGTGCTTTGTGGAAAAACAGGCTGCATCTTTGAAAGACTCAAGCTGAGCTGAAGCTGTGTCTTGCCCAAAGCCATTATCTAGTGTGCAAAGCAGGGTGCTGCTGTGATTTTTATCCTCCTTTGATGAATAATACTGTTGGCAAAGACCATATGCTCTTTCACAGGCTGGAGTTTGATGGCATTGCACAACAGAGGGACAATCACATCAAGCCAGTGATGGTTTGTATTGAGTAGTAGTAATGGTAGAAGTGATGACAGTCATTAAAATCATGTTGTAAATAGCCTTGGGCCTTCAGATCACAGTTAACTTAGGATGTGTCAAGGACGGATCTCCCTCCAAGAGCTTTCTGGAAGGGATTCCCCATTATTCCATGTTCTTTCCAGAGCTTTGTGTTTGAGAATTATAGAGCTAGCAGAAGGTAGACCTTGAGTCTTCATCATCTCTTGCATTTACATTGGTGCTTTTGATGTTTCTAGATCTTCCTTAGATGAGAATCAGAGTAGACTCACAGAAAACTGAGCACATTCATAAAAAGGTAGTAGAAATGTCATTGGGATGTTTTACTCCAGTTCAACAATGCAAATTTTGCAATAGCTGGATGCATACACAGCACTAAAAGTGAGGAAGGGTTTGACGAATGGAATGATTACTGTTCTATGGAAACTACTTGCTGCAGAGGAAGAAACCTATTCATAAAGGAATTCTATAATGCAAAGCAGCATATGGGACTAGTGAGGGGGGTTAAGACTACCATGATTTGAGAAGATATACCTGACATACTAGTGGGGAAAGTACATGATTTAAACTTTTCCACAAATTCTACAAAGGTGGCCTTGAACAAGTGACTTAATTTCTTATCTGTCAGTTTTGACATCTTTAAAAATAAATGAAAGGACTACATCAAACTAAAAAGCTTCTGCTCAGCAAAAGAAATCGTCAATAAGGTAAAGAGACAACCATCCGAATGTGAAAATATATTTGCAAGCAACACCTCCGATAAGAGCCTAATATCAAAAATATACAAAGAACTCATATAACTCAATAACAACAAAAAACAAATGATCCAATCGAAAAATAGGCAGAGAACCTAAACAGACACTTCTCCCCAGAGGATATACAAATGGCCAAGAAATATATAAAAAGATGCTCAACATTGCTAGCTATTATGGAAATGCAAATCAAAACCACAATGAGATACCATCTCACACCTGTTAGAATAGCTATAATCAATAGGACAAGTAATAACAAATGTTGGAGAGGATGCGGAGAAAAAGGAACCCTCATACATTGCTGGTGGGACTGCAAATTGGCAGAGCCACTATGGAAAACACTATGGAGGGTCCTCAAAAAACTAAGAATTGATCCACCATATGATTCAGCAATTTCTTTCATGGGTATTTACCCCAAAGACTTGAAAACTTATAACCAAAAAGATATTTGCACACCGATATTCATAGCAGCATTATTCACAGTGGCCAGGACATGGTTATTACTCAGCCCTAAGAAGAGATGAAATACTGTCATTTGCGATATCATGGATGGACCTTAAGATAATCATGCTAAGCAAAATAAGCCAGATACGAAAAGTTGAAAATCACATGATATCACTTTTATGTGTGATATAAACCTAAAAGCAACAAATGAGCAGGAAAAAGAATCAGAGACTCATGGACATGGACTACAGGCTAGTGGTTACCGGAGGACTATAGACTAGTGGTTACTAGTGGGGTGAGGGAGGAGGGGAGAGGTAGATGAGGTAAAGGGGGTCAAATATATGGTAACTGAAGGCAACTGAACTTCAGGAGGTAAACACACAATGGAATATACAGATGTCAAATGATAATGTACACCTGAAAATTATATAATTGTATTAACCAATGTTGCCCCAATAAACTTAATTAAAAACAAGGGAGTAGCTAGCTTAAACATTATTGATAGGGCAAAGAATCATTCAGTACATCTACTGAAAATCTGAGATTTTAACAAACCCTGAGTTCTAGGTACGACTGAACAGGTAGAAATGGGAGGAAAACAAATTCCAGGTGGAGGGGACAATCTGAATAAAGGCTCAAGGGTAGGAAAGTGCTTTTCTGGTTAGAGCATAGAGTTTGTGTTGATGTTCACATCTATGTGTGTGTATGTTGTGTGGGTGTGTATGCCTGTGTGTGTGTAGGGGTTATATGCACATGTCCTTTTTTTATGAAATAATCTTTCTTTACCTTCTTCCTCTGTAACAGCTCCTTTAAAATACTAAGAAACCCCACAACAAAGGCAAGTTAATTTTCAGATTATATCTCCAGAGATATTTGTACAAAGAAGGGGAACTGGCAAATAGACAATTCTTAGATAATTTTTAGGTTTCCTGACTTGTAGAGAGAGTCATGGATGGACGATGACTCGAAAACAAATCAAAAATTTATAGTTACCTCTACTAAGAGAAGATATTGTTTATACTAGATAGTCTGAGGGCCCCCAAAATACATCTTTATAGTCTGATACCAACCTACAGGAACACAAACACTTGTAAAAATTTTAAGGAAATAATAAGATTTGGTATAAAAATTAGACTAACTAGAATTTTATTAGAGACATTACATTTATTTTGTGCTTTATAGTTTATAAAGTGCTTTCTTTATTGTCTAATTTCATGATTGCAACAACCTGGGAGCGGAGTATTTCTGATATTACTCCATTCATTTTCTGGATGTAGAAACAGGTTCCAAGAGGTTCTGTGACTTGCTGTACTAGAATTAGAACTTGAAGTTTGGACTGTTCTGCAGTTTTTTTTTTTTTTTTTTTTTTCCCTAGCATACTATGTTGTCTTAAGATAATGCAGCACATTCTTTTTATTTGTTTGTTTATTTGTTTATGTTTTTGAGGAAACAGGTCTAAAGGGTCGAAGTGATACATTCAAGTCACTTAGTTGATGGCTGCATTGGACCTTGAACCTGAATTTTCTAACTTCTTGCTCAGAGCTCTTTTCATAATGCAAGGCTATAAAGGACACAGTTTGAATTAAAGCATTGCAGAGAGACGGGAAAGATGATAGAG